TAAGGAGAGGAGGAGTATGAGGTAATCGTCCCTCAACCTGGAGTCGATTGTTCATCCATAAACCCCTTGTGAATATACAGAAAGGGGCCGTAAGACGTGGCTTAATACTGAGTGAGGTGAAGTGAAGCAGGGGGGAGGTGGGGCTAGTGTACCATCCACTAGTCGAAGTGGGGGTTTCGCCAAAGGACGAAGACCTACTTCGACTAGGGAGGGACCCTATGACCCCACCTCCGCCTCTTCACTTCACCTCACTACTATATAAGCCACGTCTACGGCCTATGCTGTAATTCTACAAGATTGATGGACTAAACACATCGACTCCGGGTTGGGGGGACTGATTACCTCATACTCCTCCTCTCCTTACCCTCCTCTTTGTTGGACTGATAAGCCATGTGTGCGAAACGTTCCTGAATAAAGATTCCCATATGCTCATAATGTCCAATTTTAAAGTATAGTAGTACCAACCTCTTATATGGGTGTGAAGCTTGGGGGTAAATGCAGCAGCGAGAGAGGGTTGGACGGGAGAGGGCCTGTCTAAGGCAAGTGTGGGAAATATTATGCAGAAAATTCGAGTGTGGAAAAAAGGGAGAAAGGGTGGAGTTTTAAAAGCATTAGCCAGGGGCAAAAGAGGGGTTGTTGAGGGGGTTTTGGGTCATTTAGGGAATGGTCAAAGTAAATACTGGAAAGCAATAAATCTATAGGGGAAGGAAGGAGGGGTAGGGTCGTCCTCGAAAGGGTTGGAAAAGGGGGTAAAGGGGGTTTTGTGGGGCAAGGGGGTTGGATTCCAACAACTGCATGAGCGTGTTAATAGGATGAATGGAGACGATGATACTTGGGGGCCTACGATCCCGTTTGGGGGTGTGAGCAGGGGAAAAATTAGTGAAGGGATTCATGAAACCGGTTTTTTTCATATATCGGACTTTAGTCCGGGAAAAGGGAAGTACAATGCCTGCACTTTAAAGGGGGGTTTGGATATGGCAGTTTGGAGGATATTTTTTGTATCTTTATATGTGATGCTCTAAAATGTGTATTCTGAGCACCCTGCAAAAACATGATATGGGAGGTGGTGAAAGTGTTGAATAGAGAAAGATTTTCTTTTTTGGGGGTTTCTTTTTTTTTTGGGCAACCCGCCCGGGGGGAACGGCCGACTTGTTGAAAAAAAAAAATATTTAAAAAATTAAAATATTATATATAAAAATATATATATATATATATATATAAATATATATATATATATATATATATATACATTTTTTTTTTTATAACACATTGGTTTCTCCCACTGAGACAGGGTGACCCCAAAAAGAAAATACTTTCATCATCATTCAACACCTTCACCTCACTCGTACATAATCACTGTCTTTGCAGAGGCGCTCGGATACGACAGTTTAGAAGTCCCTCCAACCTGCCAATATCCCAAAACCCTCCTCCAAAGTGCAGGCATTGTATTTCCCATTTCCAAGCCTCAAGTCCGGCTAACCTGTTTCCCTGAATCCCTTCACAAAATATTAACCTTCTCACACTCCAACAGCTCGTCAGGTCCCGAAAACCATTCGTCTCCATTCACTCCTATCTAATACGCTCAAACATTCTTGCTGGAAATCCAAGCCCCTCGCCCACAAAACGTTCTTTACCCCCTCCCTCCAACCTTACCGAAGACGAGCCCTACCCCGCCTTCCTTTCTCTACAGATTTACGCTCTCCAAGTCATTCTACTTTGATCCATTCCCTCTAAATGACCAAACCACTTCAACAACCCCTCTTCAGCCCTCTGACTAATAGTTTTTGTAACTCCACACCTTCTCCTAATTTCCACACTACGAATTCTCTGCATAATATTTACACCACACATTGCACTTAGACACGACATCTTTATTGCCTCCAGCTTCTTCCTCGCAGCAGCATTCACAACCCATGCTTCACACCCATACATGAGTGATGGAATCACTAAACTCTCGTACATTCCCTTCTTTGCCTCCATGGACACTTTTTTTTTCTTTTTTGTCTCCACAGATGCCTCAATGCATCACTCATCATTTTTCCTTCATCAATTCTATGGTTAACCTCGTCCTTCATAAACTCATCTGCTGACAAATCTACTCTCAAATATCTGAACACATTCACTTCCTCCATACTACCTCCCTCCAATGTGATATCCATTTTTTCTTTACCTAACTCGTTTGATACCCTCATCACCTTACTCTTATCTATGTTCACTTTCAACTCTCTTTCTTTACACACCTTGCCAAACTCGTCCACTAACCTTTGCAACTTCTTTTTAGAATCTCCCAAAAAAACAGTATCATCAGCAAAAAGCAACTGTGACAGCTCTCATTTTGTATTCGATTCCTCATAATTTAATCACACCCCTGAAAAGTTTCAGGAAAAGGAATGAGGGTCAAATTTCACTGAGCTAGAGCTTTTGACCAACATCAGTTACCTCATGGATATTTCTGATATTTCTAAAGAAAAATATCAATATAATACTTGATCACCAGGTGTGAGGCCAGTGCCATTCCACCGGGGACAATGACATATGAAACAAGGTTCAAGGTGGTCCTCCTTGTTATACCCGTGTGCCACAGCTATGGTCACATAATGCTTCATCTCTGTCTTCAATTTGGTGGCACTACTGTTTTCGTCCAAAGATTCAGCGCCAGAAAATTTCTTCAGACTATTCAGAATTTCAAGGTAAGCATAGATCATGGTTTCATTATACTGAAACTTCATTTGAAATTCTGCAGATGTATATTATAAAACGTTAATGTTTCTACGATTATCTAAAGCTTTCCTTATTTGATTTTTGTGGAAGGTGACATATTGCCCAATTGTTCCCCACCTGGCCAAGTCTCTGGCAGAGATGCCGTTCCTGAAACACTACGACATCTCCTCCATGTAAGCTTCAATTCTTCTGGCGCCCTGCTACCAACTGCCACAGTCACCTCCTTCGAGGAAAAGGTTACCTAATTTCTTATTTATTCATTCTTACTTCAAACCTTGTGTGCCTTTCTGGTTAAATCTAAATTACATTAACTGCACGTCACCTGTATCCCACTAGTAAAGCAAACCTTAATCCCTAAAGTAGGGATTATAAACAACTTTCACTGTATAATCACTGAGAGATGTACACCTCTCTATGTATATACCCATAATTCACTATTATTTAATATACTGTTAATTATTTTACTAAATATTCGCTTTGGAAAAGTATAAAACATGAAAAAAAAACCAGCATATAAAGTGCTGGTTAAAAAAAGATCAATTTCACTTATAAGCTTCACTTATAATATTTCACTTACAAGTATCACATAGCTAAGATGAATTGTAAACTTTCGTCAAGGCAATGAGCCTTAAATTAATAACTAAATCACGTGTATGGATAATGGAGCACAACGCTAGAAGGTTTGGGTAAACACGCAACAGTGAGACTTTTGGTTTAATTATAGAAAACCATGAAAAGCATAGCAGGTAATATGAAAAGTAAGTTCAATATTGAACTTACTTTTCAAAATTTTGTAACAGTAACTCCCCCTTAACACATTTAATATCATTTAATTTTAGTATATTACTCCTAACTTTTTGTCACTCTCTGGACAGGATCACTGACTTCTGTTACAGCCGACTGAAATTTCGTTGGTTACTTTCTTAATTAGATAGTTTTATTTTACACCCGATGATGAGGGCGGCAGTCAAAAGAGTAGGGCAATCTAAGGTCTTTTACTAGAGTTGTCCAGTATTTTTACAGCAGTTACATACGATTGTCATTGCTATCACACGTATTGCAGCCAAATCCACCTCGTCATTCGTAGCTGTTTCCGACTCCTAAAGTGTTACAAAATATTCAGAAATTCGACTCCCCTCATAGCATCCTTCTTCAAATACAACTTTGGTTATATCACATATCTAGTAAATACAAAGCCTTCATATTTTGCTGGGTCGTGGACCCGTCGATGGTTACGTGAGTGAACAAGCTGACTCAACTGCTCGGTGAGCTATTCATGACCTTCCAATTTTCCTTGGGGGTATTCCTTTCTCGGGCTATTTTTCAGTGTTCTCTCAACTTTGCATCTGCTGGCAACAGCATTAATCCTAGTTAGACTCCAATAAATTGTTTTCTATAAAACCATGATAGCGATTCTGGCCTTAATCTTCACACCACTTTAGGGTTTAGGAAGCTGCATTCTCATGCTTATGTATCGGACATTCGTGACTTACTCACGGATACCACGAGGAGAAATGACCAGCGCCACTCTATAGGGACTGCCAGGTTGCACTGTCAACCTACCATATCATTATAGATTGTCTTGTCTATCAGTGGGCACGCAGGATTTACTTCTGCCTAGACCCCCCAACACATTCACTCTAACGGACTTCCTCACTGACAAAGAAACTCTCTTTGGGTTTTTGATGGAAGCTAACCAATTGCACTATGATTTATATTTTACTCTTGCACTAACCTCTTCGTCGACTATTTCCTACCCTGATACATCCCTACCATTTACTAGCTTCTGATCCTTGCATATTCCTATCCCTGCATATCCTTACCCTCAACACATGACCCATATGAGTATAAAGCTTCAACTGATTAAATTATTATTACAGAACAAGGTGGCAGTCAAACTGGGAGTACACTTTAATATATAGAAAATAAATATCTTACCATTTGTCCACCAGTGTGGTAGTAATAACAATAGTAGAGAGTACAAAAATTAAGAAAGAAAAAAAATCCCAACCACCAGCTGACAGCCACGCAGCAGTGTTGACTGGGGTAGGAAGCTCCATAGAGAAAGAGAAATAAAGTATCACCTAACTGACTCTGCAAGTATGCAGTAAATATAGAGAAAAGAGTCAAAAACAAATAAAAGTAAGAGTAGTTGCTGCAATCACTTGGGTAATAACGTTAAAAAGGGGACGTAATCCTGGGACCACATCTTAGGAGAATATTTGGGAAGGAGCAAAAAAGTATGTGAGCTAAACGAATAAAGAACAAGTGACATAGAAGAAGTATTGAACGAAAGGTTCTCTGGTTCTCCTTGTAAGAGCATGAGGTAGTATTCAATCCGTCCACTTCTCCAGTAAACTCTACAACTCCCGGTTAATTATGTATGGGATTCTCCACGATCTGACGGTGAAGTTAAAATTCAGTAAAAGCCTTTCATTTCCACAAGGGTTTAATGAATATATGAACGTATGAATGAACATACACGAATAGCAACCAGATAATGTATCGAATATTTACATGTACTAGTGAATCAAGAGAATAAGACACTATTGTATCAAAAGGTTAATTGTGGCTGTGGCAAGAAAGTCTTTGGATATCTGTATTGCGTGTTCGCAAAAAAATGCGAGCAAACAATAGAAGATGCAAAAAAAAAAAAACTGGGGGTAGTCGAATGATAGCTCTAGGCCTTGCGTGTTGCAATCAACACATCATCACGAACATGCAAGGTCGCAGAAAAGAGGAAGAAGTCCAAGCAAATATATTCCGAGGAAGCGTCTTTGCTCGCATGAGGTAGAGAGGAGGTAGTAAGTGCTCCAGGCATACCAGGGAGGAGGCAGTAAGTGCTCCAGGCATACCAGGGAGGAGGCAGTAAGTGCTCCAGGCATACCAGAGAGGAGGCAGTAAGTGCTCCAGGCATACCAGGGAGGAGGCAGTAAGTGCTCCAGGCATACCAGGGAGGAGGCAGTAAGTGCTCCAGGCATACCAGGGAGGAGGCAGTTTAAATGCTCCCAGGCATACCAGAGAGGAGGCAGTAAGTGCTCCAGGCATACCAGGGAGGAGGCAGTAAGTGCTCCAGGCATACCAGAGAGGAGGCAGTAAGTGCTCCAGGCATACCAGGGAGGAGGCAGTAAGTGCTCCAGGCATACCAGGGAGGAGGCAGTAAGTGCTCCAGACATACCAGGGAGGAGGCAGTAAGTGCTCCAGGCATACCAGAGAGGAGGCAGTAAGTGCTCCCAGGCATACCAGGGAGGAGGCAGTAAGTGCTCCAGGCATACCAGGAGGAGGCAGTAAGTGCTCCGGCATACCAGAGAGGAGGCAGTAAGTGCTCCAGCATACCAGGGAGGAGGCAGTAAGTGCTCCAGGCATACCAGGGAGGAGGCAGTAAGTGTCCAGGCATAACCAGGAGGAGGCAGTAAGTGCTCCAGGCATACCAGGGAGGAGGCAGTAAGTGCTCCAGGCATACCAGGGAGGAGGCAGTAAGTGCTCCAGGCATACCAGGGAGGAGGCAGTAAGTGCTCCAGGCATACCAAGGAGGCAGTAAGTTCCAGGCTACCAGGGAGGAGGGAGTAAGTGCTCCAGGATCCAAAAAGGGGGAG